AAAAAAAAAAGATGGCCCAGAAAAATCTTTATGTTTTGTTATGTTCACCCTATACTGGGAACATCCTCCTCCAAACAAAACAGTTATTAAAGAAGCTGTTCTCAACCATACAGAGCATCACATCAAAGGATAGCATCAAGGCAATCTGTGAATAAATAAGTGAATGATTCATGGAAGCTTTATTAATAGATAAGAAAACCCTATGGCAAGTTTTCTAAAACCAAGTGCCTATAGTTAGGCTCCTTAGCAGACTCTAAAGCTCTTCACTTGATCTCCCACGATATTTAAATACATACTTAACATTACCTTGTGCATATACTGGGCCTACTTAATAGGCTTAGAGTCAAGTGTGTGCTTAAGTCTTTTCCTTGATCTGAAATAGAATACTTAGTGTTTTGCCAGAGCTAAACTCTCAGGCCTCTAAAGAAATGGACTGTGGAACTACTATTTTTCAAATATATCAAAGCAAGATAAAAGTCCAATCCCTGCGGCAGTTGTCTTCAATAATTAGTTCTTTTCTGCAGTAAAGGCTGTAGAAATTGCCTGTGTGCCCACGACTTTTCAAAACAGAGGTTAAATCCTGGACATACACTTTTCAAATGTTATTCCACATTTCTGTGAAATATGGGGGAGTATGTATGACCATGAGAGCAGAAATCAAAATGACATCACAAATATTATTGAATGAATATTCACTCAGAATTTTATATTAACACTGAAGATGACAAACTGATTCAGTTTGACTTAATATTTGTTAACTCATAGATTCAAAATGTTAAACAAATTATGAAAACTCTTAACATTACAGATAACACAACTATAGACTTATAAAATCACAAAGTTGCAATATTGTGCATGAAATAACTACTTTCTTTAAGAAAATAATTTATTTTCCATAGTCACGACATGTAATCTGATATCAGTTACTGTACACATATTTTCTGGCAATACTCTGACTGTCTATGAACACTGGATCCACAGATGCCACTTTTGCTGCTATAAAGGAGTGAATACAGTGTAAAACTGCCGTCAGATCCTGAAATTCAAGTTCCTGAAAGAGTAAGTAAGAGAAAAAAAAAAGAAAAAAAAAAAAAGAGAAAATGTGAATTCATATTCAGGTTTATAAACATTTTACATAAATACAGAACAGACTAGTCAGCAAACAACAATGGACTTTAAATGAAATGTTGAATCTTTATAAGGAACTGTGAAGCTAAAAGTGTTAAGAATAAAAGATGTATAACCATACCTTTTTCACTGGCAGTGCTGCACGTCAATTTAGTTTTAACTGTGTACTTCCTTATTGTTTACATTTCACTCAGTTTGGACAATGAAAGCATTCAACTTGCATGAACATCCAAATATTGAAACATATTTTAAAATATGTGATGAGTTAAGGAAGTTTGGGGATGATGTGGTGTCAAGTCACACCTGGGGAGAGTGAGGAGGACACATACTCGGGCAGCCTCTGAAGGAGAGTCAGATGAGCAATCTGGGAGGCCAGAGGCAGGGTGGAAGCTAAGATAAAGTCACACCATAGCCTGCATATAGAAACATGGCTGGGTATGAAATTTATATGCCCTAATTCACAAAGACAGGCAGAGTTACTTCTAACCAGTTCTCAGATTCCCTTGATTTTTTATAACATATTTCATCTTCTGTGCACAAGTTAAATACCTTTTTCCCAATCTCCCAGACAGAAATGGAGTGATATTCTGGCACAATCACAACAAATATAATGCAAGAAATGTGTTCAATTTACATGATACTTTTTGTAAAGTAGCTGGTTATCGGATTTCAGCTGGTAAATATATTATGGGGACATTTAGGACAGTTTTTGGTTTGGGGAGAAGACATTTGCTTTCAGCAAACGTGTTGGCTATATAGTAGTTTATTGAGACACACTCTGTATCTTTGTCTCTAAACAAAAAGCAAAGCACTAGACTACTATGTTTCCTATCACAGTATTTTATGGTATCTTCTGAACAAAACTGCCTCAAACAGAATATTTGGAATTCAAGATTACTGTTCCAGTGGTGAAAAGCTCACCATTTTGCTATCAAAGGCCATGTATGTTTTTTGATACTAATGGTGGTTTTACTGCCAATGAATGTCTTAAATTGTTCACTAGTATTTGTGAGGCATGATTTTGTGACACTATTTTGGGCATAACTGGGAAATTTTTGTTAGTGGAGGGAGCTGCTGGGCAGACTCTGTGAGGAGAGGCTGGGGTTGCCCCATGCTGGACACAGCTGGTTCAAGTCGGCTCCAACCAAGCACCATAGGGCACAGCTGAGCCCGGCAGCCTCGATGGTAGCACCTCTGGGAAAACACATTTAAGAAAGGGCAGTAAATTCCCCAAAAAGGCAACAAAGCCAGTGGAGTAGGAGGTGCTCCATGGCAGAACTGCTAACAGCTCCAAAGGGACCATAACAAATGGAGGAGTCACAGTGGAGAAGAGGAAACAAGTAAGAAGCAAGGAGCAGCAAAGAAAAAGAGAAACAAGGAGTGGTAGAAAGAAATCATTACACCCTGACAATATTTGAGGGCTCTACTTCATGATGATGAATTTCCATTGAGTTTTTTAAGAAAATTGTGCACAGTTTCTTTACAATCTCAGGCACATATAGTTTATTGTCTCTGGGATTTTATTTCCCACTAAGCAAATTTATTATTCCCAGAAAAATTTAATTTTCTGTTATTGACTACTCTTTCCAGCATAAGGTGACAATAAGCAGTACTACTGGACAATAATAGTAATAGAATTATATTTGACAAGCTCCCAAGATACACTCTTCCTGTGGTGTAACAGGCCTTACAAATGTCTTTATCCTCTATGAAACATCTACAAAAACCATCTTCTCAGACATGGTAGCCTTGGAAAAGAGAAGACTTTGGCAGCAAGCTGTCCTCCGTATAGTGTTTGCTCAGTGCACACAGAAGCCTCAGAGAACAATGCTTTCAGCCCCCAGGTTCTGCAAAGAATATGTAAGCAGAAATTTTTACATGCATATAATAATTTGTCTTGGGTGGGTCATCATCAGACAAACAAATTTTAACTCCTTCCAGAACCTGGAAACACAAGAATTTCTCAATTAAATAGCTTTGAGAATGTGTTAACATAAATGACATTTCTCTCTCCTCCCTTCAAAAATTCTTCTCTGACTGGTTTTCCTACAGCTTTCCATGAAAAAATAGCTGAATTCAGATACAATGCATAGTGATTTTTTATCTCAAGTGTTGAAATAATAAGAAATTTAAAATAGATTATTATAATTTGATATCTAATACAAATTACAAAGTAACACTTCCCAGATTATAAAAGAACAGCAAACAACAAAACATTCCTAATTAAAAAAAATAGGGGCATAAACCAATATAACCGATAAGCAGAATGTGCTATTTATTATCATTCATCCCTAGGTAAATAAGGAGAAGATAATTAAACATTGAGGGAAGAGGTAAAATGCTAAAAAACTTTATGCTTTTGCATACTTGCTAGTCAATATATTAAGAAATAATTATCCTAAAAGAAGAAAAATCTCTTAAGAACTTGTATCAAACTAAGCACTTGGGTAACAGTTAATAACTAGCATTTGGTTGCTGAAGTAAACATTTGGGCCTCATACTGACACTTATATCTCATTGTGAAAGAAAAATGAAGTGCAAATGTTGGTTAAAATCCTTTGAGGAATTAAAGCCCATGTAATCTTTATTCTGATTTTTGGGGGCATAAAATCCCTAATTTTTCTATTTTGATTGATAGTTATGAAGCAAGTATGGGAACAAGTTTCTTAAAATATATTTCACTGACAGTAAATATCTACTTTAAATATTAATATAAAATTAATATAAACACTTTCAGAAAAAAAATAGTGCCATTATTTAAATCTCGTTGTCTAAGTTTTATAAAACTAAAATGAAGTACACATTCATGATTATTAATGAAATACAACTCAATATGAAATAACACAGGCCTCAGCATATCAGTTCTCAGCTCAGGTCAAAGGTTTACATCTCCTGGATTACCATTTTTAAAAACAATACATTCTAAAATATAAAAGCACTCAGATTAATCTTAGATTTGCTCCAAAATGAGCTAAAATAATCCAACAGTTTCACCTCAGATTCTGACATTCAACACACTGAATGCAGCCAGACGAACTGAGAAGAGCTCCCTTCACAAAGCTTTCCATTTCTCTGCTCTGGCTTTATGCACTTCTAATCTAAACATGTTTATCAAAATAAGCAATCAGAGGTAACCTAACACAGATTGTAGGTAGGATTCCAGACTGCTCTAACAACATCATGCAAAGAGTTTTGGGATAAGAAAAGAGCCAAGACAGAACTGTCTCATCACTGGGAGTCTGTCCTTGCCAATGCAGCTATTGCAAAGTCCTCTTAGTTTTGTGAGAGTTTAGAGTATGGGTCAAACTGCAGTAGTCCCTCTTTGCGTAACTGAGAGAACTTGCCTAATGTATTGGGAATAACCTTTTGAATACTAGTAATATGCTCTTACTTCTATAAAAGATAATCTACATAGAGTTGAAAGAGGAGAAGTATCGCTAAACCTATGTTTTATGTGAAGACAACACTGTATTTTCTCTAGTTAATACTGCAGGTCCCTCAGTCAGGGCGATTATTTTCAAGAGTGGTGCTAGTTTTGAAACTTGTTGTTTAGCTGGGTAGCCAAATAGGTGGCATGGGAGCACTCCTGGTATAATTTACTAGCTGTTTTGCTTCCCTCATGTTTTCCCATGTCTTCACTATTTTCTGTTAGGTTATCTGTGGGGGTGAGCAATCATCTGGGATCATAAAAGAGGAAAAGAGCTCTTGCAGGGCTTGGTTAGATGTGGTCAGCTATGGTGTTACCAGAGAGGTGGGGTTCACCTGAGGCCTCACACTCCAGAAACTCCAAGAAATGCACTTGATTACAGTAGTATTTGACACAGGAGACCACAAATGAGGACGAGGCTGTGATGCTTTGTGTTAGATGTCTGTGCTGGCTGCCTTCACAATCCTCAAGCTGGACTAGCCAGACACAGATGTTGGGAAATACTCACATATATCCAAAGCAGAAATTGGGGTACAGATTTGTGCAGGCTTAAGACAGAGGTTGCTCAGAGAACTGGTGTTCTGGTGGGGGATATGGCTTGCATGCAGATTACAACAGGGAAAGGGAAAGAGGACTGTGGGTTAGTTCAGAAATACGGATTTGGTAAAAGACAGAGATGGCCTTCTGGCTTGGGGAAATGTAGATGTTGGATAGTCAGAGGACATGGAGACAATATGGCTCCTAGCAAAAGACTACCTGGAATATGTTTTATAGGGCAGAATTTGGCCTCTTCAGGTTTAGAATGCAATGTGAATTTTCACTTGAAAATCACAACAATGGCACTTCTTTCAAACAAATGCATTGCTCCAATAATTTATTTTTCCTTTTTTTATTTTTTAAGTAACATTTCTCTCCATACCCAGCCAGGCTGAGAAACTAATCATTTTATTTGCTCTATATCATCTAACATCATCCTTCTGCTTGCTTGCCTTATCTGTGATTGCCGCTTTTTTCTTTGATTAAGATTGTCAGGTGTTATTTATTATCATTTTAAGTGTATTTAGAAGAATCTATGCATGTCTAATATTTCAATAACCAAACCTATTTCAGTTTACTGTATGCAACCTAATAAATGGATTAAGTACAACAAAGGCACTAGAAGGAAGACAGCAAGCACATAAAAGATTGGATTAAAGCAGTGGGAGGACAAGACTGCAAAACTGCCTGCTGGTATTGAGATATAAAAAATGTGCACACTGCGCTCACCTCGATCACTATATCTGCAGAGCCAAGTAAGAAAAATATATGTTCTTGTTTTGTTCATGCACCTATGAGAGTTGGATTTATCACGTATCATAAAGACCTTGACAGGCTTGTTGTATCATTACCACACACATTCTTAATTCTATTGATTACTTCCGAGAGCTATTGAGTCATTATTTGAACAAGACATGAGCCTGTATCACATAAAAGGCAGATAATGGAGACACTGACAG